CCCTAAAGGAAATTAAGGCCCCTTTAGGAAGACATCATCCTGTGCTTTCTAGCTGTTAGACACCTTTGCAATGTTTTTTTTAAAGATCCATCGCTTTTTTTTTTTTTAATTGTGTGTTCTTGAGCGTCTCCTCAGATATTTTTAAAAGTGCAGAAAGAAATCCAAGGGCTCACCCTCTCACCATCTCAGTGTTCCCCCAGATTTTAAGCGCTTCTGAGTTTTTAATCCCTGAGTATTTGAACAGTACAGGTCTGAAGATGTGATCATGGGTCTGGATACTGGGAATCTTAAGTATTTGTCCTTATTCAGAACAATTTGGATGCTCCTTGTGCTTTGGGGTTTCATGTGTCCACAGATGAGGAAGATGGAGTGTTTTCATATATAACAACCTTGTTCTGTCTCCCCTAGGATGCAGTATATTTTCCCCAAAATCAGGTGTTGTGTTAAAGGTTTCCTGTATAAATATCCTTAAGTTAACTGCTGGGTATTACTAGGTGTTGTGCATATAATATAAATCATTTTATTTTACATTTTAGAAAAGTTTGGAAATGGGAATAGGAAGACTTGCAAGACATAGGTGACAGAATTAAATGTTTTCTTTCAGTAAAAGTGCATATAAACGGTTGTTTTGTGGTTTCTAAGCTGCAAGACATGATTATAAAGCTTACTTTTATATAGTGTGGGCTTATGGAGGGAATATCGTTGTTTTTGTGTTGTTGACAGTATTTGTAGCCAGACCACTTCGTCTGTATGGAAGGTGTGCCTTTCATTCATATATGTAGCTAATTTCTAAGGACTGTAGTTTCAACAGAGAAGTAATCAAGCTTAGGCAATTTATGAGTTGAAGATGTAAGTTTACAATATGTAAACTCTTTAAAATATACATTATGAAAATCTACTGCTTAATGTTTCAGTGAGTATGAGTTAAAAATTTTATCGATCTATTTACCTTATCTTTGAAACTGCCATAGGAGAGTAATTATAATCCTGGAGTTTGTCTTCCTTCTAGATTTCATAATTGGATCAGACAAGCTTTTTGGGAATCAATTTTAAAATACTAATTCAGAAAATGATAAACAATTTTAATGTAGGAGGTTTTACTTTAAAGAATTTGTAATTTAAAGAAACAAGGTACCACATTTAAAAGTGGAATGTTTTTCATTAAAAAATTGAAATATATTTGGACTTTTAAAGCCAGACATGAAGCATACTGATATAAATGTCAGTATTCTATTAAGTGACTTTAGTGCTCATAAAAGATGTCATAGCTGTGGAGACTGATGGTCTCCATTTACAGAATAGGTAGAGACAGTAGTCAAATTTTCTATCACTGTGTTTCAGAACAGTTTGTGCAGACTTATTTTTCTTTGGCATGATGGAAGAAAGCTCTCGGTTGAGAGTGGTAATCTGTGGTGTCTAAAGGCATTTAGTATTTTCTTCTGGTGATTCTATGACATACTAATACATCAAAGATTATTGTACCATATTTACAAAGCAGCATTTTGAATTTATCATTTTTGAAAAAGACAAATACCAATCACTCAATGGCCAAGTTTTATTTAAAAAAGAATGCAGCCAGAAGCCAGTGGCTCATGCCTGTAATCCTACTCAGGAGACTATGATTTTAGGATTGCAACCTGAAGCTAGTCAGAACAAGAAACTCTATAAGACTCTTATCTTCAATTAACCAGCAAAAAGCTAGAAGTGGAGCTGTCTCAAGTGATAGAGTACTAATCTCAAGCAAAAAAAAGCAGAGAAATAGTACCCAGGCCCTGAGTTCAAGTGCTAAAAAATATATACATATGTGTGTGTATAAGTACAAAATAAGTGCATTAAAAAATGCTCTTAAAAGAGCATTACAAATGTAGGAGAGAATGTAGAAATGACCAATACTGGTCATACAAATACTGATTATTCTAGAAATGAAATTTACAATAAAAAGGACATGGTCTTTAGATGGATGATTGTCAAAAATAAGTGTAACAACACATCTGGTAAGGATAAGCCCTCGAGAAACATGTAGAAAAGTTGGGTAATACCTACCAATATTGCAAGTGAATCTCCCATGTGATCTAAGCATTGAACTTGTAGAGGTACTCAAGGTAGTATACACCAAGAAAGCATCTTGTTATCTGTGTTTTTGTTGGCCCACACATTCCCACATGCAATAGGAGAAATAGTAAGTGATTAGGAAGCTATAGCTTTCAATATGTGGAAGTTGTAAGGAACTCATTAACTATGTTGAGATACAAAGAGATCAAAACAAAATGCAGAATAACTATGGTTGGACAGTAGACTGTGAAACTGTCACACCAGCATAGTGAGAAGTACAGTAGGTGCTGAGGATAGTGCTCCTCCACCACTCAGACACCAGCAGGTAGCAGACAGAAAAGCAGGACAGCAGGCATCTCCTGAAGACAGTTTGACACAATACAAAATCATCTTGCCAAGAACATGAAACCTGGATGTGGTTATGTGTTTGAACGAAATCGAGGGACATCAAATCCCAGACTATGGGAAAGTACAGAAGGGATGGCATGATTCCCAGAGAAAGAGCTAGAAAATAACTGAGAGAAGGCACGTAATTTCAAAGATGCTTAAATGATATACCAACCAATTTCAAATATTGGGCCTTAAATAGATCCCGAATTTAGCAAACTGTACAGTACTTGTTAATAAACAGAGGAAAGTAAAATTGGATTGTTATAACAGGAAATCATATTTTAATTCTGATTGCAGTAAATACAGCATTGTTATAGAGGGGTCTTTGTTGTGTTGTGTGTGTGTGTGTGTGTGTGTGTGTGTGTGTTGTGTCAGTTGTGGGGCCTGAACTCTGGGCCTGGGCGCTGTCCCTCAGCTCTTCAGCTCAAGGCTAGTGCTCTACCACTTGGGCCACAGCACCACTTCCACCCTTTTTTGCTTATCTGGTGCAGAGGAATTGAACCCAGGGCCTCATGCATGCAAGGCAAGCACTCTACTACTGAGCCACCTTCCCAGCTCTCTGTAGGTTTTTTATTTGCTTTCTTTTTGCAGTGCTGGAGCTTCATATGTGCTATATAAGTGCTCTACCACTAAGTTCAGTTCTAAAGTGTTTTTAAAAGTCTTTGTCATTTCTTGGAATACATTTCAAAGGAACTTTTTCATTTCAAGTGAACTCCAAGATATGGAAACAAGAGTTTTTATTTTGTTGTTTTCTGTTTGTTTTTTAATGGATTGTGTGAAGTTCTTTATTCACTTTTTTTTCCTTTGATTTATCCTCTGTCTCTGAGCCTCTTTGTGCTCTACTCCTTACGCCACAGTGCCACTTTCAGTTTTTGAGTGGTTAATTGGAGATAACAGTCTCACAGGGAGATTTCTGCCTGACCTGACTTTGAACCATGATCCTCAGATCTCAGCCTCCTGAGTAGCTTCACTGAGGTTTTTGATGTTGTTGTTTGTTTCTTGTTTTTTTTTGTGCTAGTACTAGGGCTTCTAGACACTGTCCTTTACCTTTTATACTCAAAGCTGGAGCTCTAGCACTTAAGTCACAGTTCCACTTCCAACTTTTTGGTAGTTAATTGGAAATAAGAGTCTCACAGACTTTCCTTCCAAAGTTAGCATCAAACTGCAATCCTCAGATTTCAGCCTCCTTAGTAACTAGGATTACAGGGATGAGCCACTGATGCTTGCCTCTCAACGTTCTTGTATCCAGCCATTAGCAAAGTGGATCGCACCAATCCAAGGCTTCAAGTACTTGTCTCTTGAGTTGCTAAATAAACTGAAAGATACTTACAGCTGATATCAAAACAGCATGTATCGGCACAGCATGGTATTTACAATAGCAGCAGGAAACCTGGATTCATAAGTAGGGAGTGTTTATGATTATTAGAGTTCCAGGACAAAACATGGAATTCAACACCAACTTTATACTACCAAGCAGAGTCAACATGTAATAGATTGCCTTCTAGCAATAGAGTAATGGCTATATTGAACTTAGTGTCTCTTCCTGCCAGGCAAGTGTTCTACCAATTGACCGATGGACTAGTAGACCTTTTTATCATCGTCTGTTTTTCAAATGAAGTCAAACATTTTTCCCAGGTAGTCTCAAACTGTGATGATCTTGTCTCTGCCTCTAAAGTAGTTGGGATTGCTGGTATAAGCACCATATCCATGTCCCTAAAAGATGTCTTGAATGCAGATTAATACCCTAAGGGTTCCCTAACTAAGAAGTAACTGATTTTGCTCAGAAAGCCAATGCTGGAACTTGAGTGAGTGAGGGCATCTGTCCAAGTACTCAAGACATGCCCACATGTAAGGGATATTTGACTGCCAGTATCTTTCTGCCATGGCTTTGTTTTCTAGTATTCTGTGATAGATTAGTGACATAGAGCACAGCAGGTTCAAAGCAAAGAAAGAATGAGTACAAGGGCATCTTAGATGATACTCTTAGAATTATTTATGTGATCCTGTTAATTGCTTTTAACCAGAACCCTGTGACCCTGTCAGGGAATGCCTACAGACGCCCATACTCCAAGACTTTTCACTGGAAATGTGGAATTGTCACCAACTTACTTTGGCTTTTCAACCTTAAATGCCACTTTAGAAATCATCTGTCTGAGGCACCCCAGTGGGTGAGACAATGAATCACCGTGCACACAGTCCCAGTTCTCATCCCTTTCCTGGAATCCAGGGGGCACTCTGTATACTCAACTTTACTCATCATCCCCCTTCCTTAAACATGGAAAAGTTCACATTCTGTTAAAGAAATAAATCTGAGAGGAAAAATGAAAGAATTTTTCATGACTTCCTTGAGCTCCTTTATTTTGTTAATGATATTTTCTACCCAAGAAGGTGTTGTTCTCTTGGGTCTTAAGGAATGCATGCTGTCTAATACCACGAAGGAGGAAGAAGACACCAGTGTTAAATTGGCCCACTTGAGAAACTTCGTCATCAACATAGACAAGTCTCGTTAGGCTAACTCAGTGGTTTTTCATCACAATCCTGTTCTTTTGGACCCACAGTCAAACCTCTTTTCTCAGACCTTGAAATCCTCCAGGGCCTCTCTGCAGGAGAGAAGTCAGAGGTTCTCTGAGAAAGATGCAAGAGAAACAAACGCCGTGACTCTAAAGTGAAGACTCTGTTTCCATGCCCTGCCCCAGTGTAGACCGGAGGCATGACAGACTGAGTGACAGAACAGATCGCAGGAATGCATTCCATTATCTTCGGAATCACAGACCCGTAAAACATCTGGCTTCCGGGTGCATCACCAACATGTGGGCCAGCAACTCAAATCTGCTTCGTTCTGACGGAAAAGACAGTATGCTTTTATGTGTAAGTTAGAGGGAGGGGAATTTCAGGGAGTTTCTCTTATTTTCTAAAGTGTCCTTTCTACGTTCTTATCATTCAGTTTCTTTCATTTACCAAATGAGATGCTTTCTTGTACAAAATGAGATTCGTTATTTATTTATTTATCTAATGATTTGTTTAGGTGCTGGCATGAAAAAAATAACTTTTAAATGTCTTTTGTTAATTGGTATTTAATATTATTGTTATGGATTGATTGTTTTGCCATTGAGCTAGCTCATGTCTGTGATTCTGTAATTCTAGTCAACTTGTGAGGAGAAGATAGGAAGACGACAGTTCAAAACCAGTCTCAACAAACATGCTGGGCATGCTAATTGAGCCACATAGTCCTACATAATTTAAGTGGTGGAACTAGAAAGATTGAAATTCAAGGCTGGTCTAAGATAAAAGCATGAGACCTGATCTAACATACAAACTAAAGTATAAAAGACTTGAGGTGTGGCTCAAAGGATAAGAGTGCTTGCCTAGACAGCAGGTGGTCCTGAGTTCAAATCCTGGTACTGCCAAGAGAAAAAGAAGCGAATGAAAGTCCAAAAAGTAGATATTAAATACCTCATAATACTCAAGTCTTGAAAGTTAAAGATCAATGTATGTTCCCTTTGAAACCTGTAGTGGAGAATCCTGGCAAGGGTTAGTCAGGGAGTTTTGAAACCTGATTGCTGAGAGAGGGATGGCATGTTAATAGAATAACTGAGACACAACAGGGTCTCCCTAACCCATATGCTCCACAGCTGTGCAAAGAGCCCAGGTGTGACCTTCCAAGGTCAGCATTCCCTTGTCCCATGTGTATAGAGACTTGGCAAGGCATAACCCAAGTTAATAGGCATGAACCCAGTTTTCCTGGACTGACCACTATGGCCACAGATAAGAGTTTGAGGATCTCAGGACCTCCAGTACAACACTTCTTCTTGAGCCTACTCTCCTAGAAGGTGCTATAATAAACCTGCTCCTGATTCAGTAGCTTTGTGCCACCTTTGAAGTCTTTCATGAAGAAGAGCTGTGTGGCCCTCCAGAACTGGTGGCCTGAATTTGGTGACACTTCCTTGCCTGTTTCAGCGTTCTGACATATTGTCAGCCATCTTTGCCTGCCCTTGGTCTCTGGTTGGTATCATTCCACTCTATCATCTTTTTTGTTGTTGTTGTAAGTTGTGGGGCTTATACTCAGGGCCTGGTCACTGTCCCTGGGCTTTTTCACTCATGGCTACCTCACTACCACTTTGGGCCACAGCCCCATTTCTGGTTTTCTGGTAGTTAATTATAAGAGTCTCACAGACTTTCCTGCCAGGGCTGGCTTTGAATCATTAACTTCAGATCTCAGCCTCCTGAGTAGCTAGAATCACTCCACCATCTTCACTGCCTGTTCTAGGGGCTTGAACTCTGGTTCTGGGTTTGGTCCATGAGACCAATTTGTGCTCAAGACTAGCACTTGAGCCACAACACTACTTCTGGCTTTTTCTGAGTAGTTTATTAGAGACAAGAGTCACATGGACTTTCCTGCCTGGGCTGGCTTTGAATTGTGGACCTCAGATCTCAGCCTCCTAAGTAACTGGATTACAGGCATGAGCCACCACACAGGACTTGTCTCTGTCCTAATTTCTCCTTTTTATAAGCATACCAGTCTTATTGGGTTAGAACTCAAACTAATGACCTCGTTGCTACTAGATCAATTCTGTAAGACTAATACTTAGTATTGAGAGTTCACTATGATGTTCTAGGGGTTAGGAATTTCAAGTTTCCTTTTGAGAGGCACAATTGAACTCAAAAAAAAAAAAAAAGGAATGGGTTGCAAAATCTGGGAACCATTGTGAAATTTTATTCACACACCAATTTTCAGGTGACTTGTTCAAAGAAGAAAAATACAAAATTCCTTGTCTAAATGGCAAAAAAAAAAAAAAGAAAGATCCATGAACCATTTTGACCATTTCTTCCTTGCCTCTCTTGCCAATATGGTCAATTTTAGTCTCAAAGAATTTTGTGATCTCTACAGGTTTGGGGAGAAGGAAGAGGCTCAAATAATTGATATTGTTCGAGATAAGGAGAATACATGAAAACGAATCATGTACCACTTAAGGACAGACTTTTATTAACTAGTCTGAAGAGAAGCATAGATCTTTTGAAATGTCACAAGATGGACATTGTAAAGTTTATAGAAAAATTAAACAATGGCATACAGTTGTGAGCTATATAAACACTTAATCTGGATTTTGTTGTTTGCTTAAACCACAAAAGAAATCAATTTTAAGCTAAATGTTTTGATCTGTGTAAATTTCCAGCTTCTTTGTATATTTGTTTCTTTATTTAGATCACTACTTAATGTTCTAAGAAAGTATAATGATGTGTAAAATGGCACTTTTATTCAAATTAATCCTGTGTGGATAATCTGTGGGATCTCTTCTAACATAGAAATTCCAAATAACATACATTTAAGACATTCACAATCAAACCCTTGTTCAGTTTTATGATTTTAACCAAAATGTAAATTCATCTGCATGGATATATATATTCATTTGCACACACATGTGTATATAGACATATGCACATTATTTATGTATTGATATATAGACAAGTATTTTTCCTGCACCGCCTTACAGAACGTATTTCAGATCTTATTATCTGGCATCATTTAATTCCTGTTACTTACAATATTGGGTTTCTCCTTTTATGAAGTCTTCAATTCACAAATTTCTTTCTCTCCTTCTCCCAGAGGAAATCCATCTACTCTTCATCGTAAGCAGTGACATGGGCTCAGACCACAAAGGAATGTTATTAGGAGCCAGGTGTCAGTGGCTCACACCTGTAATCTTAGCTACGAGATCTGAGGATCATGGTTCAAAGCCAGCCCATGCAAGAAAAGTCTGTGAGACTCTTATCTTTAATGAACCAATAGAAAACAGGAAGTGGTGCTGTGGCTCAAGTGCTAGAGCACTCGCCTTGAGCTGAAGCGTACAGGGACAGTGCCCAAGCTGATTTCAAGCCCACAACCAACAACAACAAAAAAGGAATGTTATTAGGACAAACACTGCTTTCCTGAGTGAAATCAGCCCTCCATCTCTGGATTACATTTTTTCCACTACTATCTTTCCTAGGCACTTGGTTCCAGTAACACAGACTTGATATGGAATGCCTGGTATAACCCAGAGTGGTTACTCTTCTCTACATTTTATTAAAGCTCCTTTCTTTCTCTCATGTTTACTTGCATATTACGTATAAAGTGCTTACCCATCCCTTCTAATGGAATTTTTTTTCCAAAGGGACCTCTCTAGTCTGAGTTAGGGTAAACACTTTTCTTTCAAGCCCTTCCAGTGCCCTGTGGATTCTAGCACCATAGCATCTACCACTGAAATAATAATTTGATTTTCAAACAGTCTGATAATATTTCTCCCTTCCTCAAATTGAAAAAGGGTAGTGAGTTGTACTTTCTTTTTTTTTTTTTTTTTTGAATAAGCACCTGCCAACCAAAAATGCTCCATAAGGTTTACCATTGAAGAGAGAACTTAGAGGCATAAAAGTAACCACTCTAGCTGTTTGTCAATCATTATAAGGAGAAGAAGCTGGTCTAGAAAATGGTTCTTGGTTGAAGCCATGTTGTATAACTTTGTAAAGAATCAACGCATTAAAAGCCAGGTGCTGGTGGCTCATGCCTGTAATCCTAGCTACTCAGGAGGCTGAGATCTGAGGATCATGGTTCAAAGCCAGCCAGGGCAGGAAAGTCCATGAGACTCTTATCTCCAATAAAGCACTAGAAAACCAGAAGTAGTGCTACGGCTCAAGTGGTAGAGAACTTGCCTTGAGCTGAAGAGCGCAAGCACAGCACCTAAGCCCAGAGTTCAAGCCCCATGACCAACAACAACAACAAAAAAAAGAAGAATCAACGCATTTGTTGGGAGCCTTAATGGCCATATGCCATAAATACACTGTTCCAGAAGTAAAATTAGGGGCTAAAAGGATGGTTCATGAGGTAGAGCACTTGCCTAGCAAGTCTAAGGCCCAGTTTTGAAACTCTATTACTACACAAACTGGAATAAAAAGAATTATGCTACTAATGGAACCTTAAAAGCACTTAATATGCATTAACTCAATTATTTTCAACCCTGACTGTACACAAGAGTGACCTGGGAGTGTTCTGAAAGTACAGGGCCAGGTCCCCAAACAAGGCAAAATCACTGCAGTGCTTACGTGGCTTCTGGGGGAGAGAAAGAGCCCTAGGAAACCCCCTGTAAGAGAATCCATTCATCTGGTTGACATGTTTTCACTGATGTTCCACAGAAGCTAAAATGTTTTCCATGTATGCACAATACAGCCAATAATCCACCAAAAGAGGCAGGGCTTTGCTCATTGTTCAGAAAGACATTGAGGCCCAAGCAGGATAATGGATTTTCTCCTGACATCTATGACACCAGGAAACTCCCAGATTTAAATTCAGGTTGATTAAAATCAGGGTTTATTCCAGCACCTCCCACTGCCCCTGAGACCCACGTCATAGGTAACTGAACTTCTGACCTCACTCCACAACTGGGTCTGAATTTGGTTGCCTCTCGGGTTAACAAACCACAGGAGATGTGTGTGTGTGTGTGTGTGTGTGTGTGTGTGTGTGTCCAATAGAACAGAAGGCAAATAACAATAAGGGAAATACAAGCAGACAAAACTCAGCTACATAGAGTAGAAGAAAAGCCTCTCCAGCAACTAACTGGCTTTCATTATACCATCTGCTACTTCTTGCACCCAAAGAATAGCCAGCCTCTTTCACTTCTATTTTCTTCCTGTTCTACCTGTTTCTCTTAACCAGCCTGACAAGCATGGTAATAGATATTGTGAGTCTACTCCTAAGATTAAACTATACTACCACAAGAAAAAAAGAAAGAAAAAAGAGAACGAAGGCAGGCAGGAAGTCAGATAGGTAGGCAAGCAGGAAAGAAAGAGGAATGAAAAAAAAAAGGGCATTGGTAGCCTAAACCTGTAACCTTAGC